GATCATTTAAAATTCCATATCACTGTAACTTATACACCCCTTCTACAATACACTCTCTATTTCTCTCCCGTCTTTTGCCTCTATTAGCTCCGTTAGCTTTGTTGAGTAATACCGACCTTACGAGTCATCCGGCTTTCTTTCCCCTCCTCGGTTGGGGCCGGTGTGTTGTTTCGAAAGAATTGATTCGAGTTTCCCAAAATCTTATGATATTGACGGCGAAGTCTAATGTGAACCCATCCACGTCCGTTGTGTACCACAGACAAGATTGCGCAATTCCTGTCTGTGGCCGTGGTAACTTTTCTATATTTGCCTCCAAAGACAACATTAAGAATCAGGGCTAGAATAAGAACTCATTCAATAAAATGCGGAACTCTGTTCATAATTCTAATAACAGGTTTATTGATTATAAAGAAATACTGAATAGAATATCTCTATTATTTACTGCAAAATCAAGTTCTTTACTGCCGGATGTGATTTTAGAAGTCTTGTAGCAAACGCTAAAGTAATGACCAGCCAGTCGACTCTCACTCAATTCTTCTATCATGCGTGTAATTGTATTTTGGCTCCCGCCACAGGAATTGTGGGTGTGCTCTTTAACAACGGCTGTCTTACAATCAATATCGTGTAACTGTGAGGTGACTTCTACCAGGGCATGTCTCAGTGTGTGTCGCTCGGTTGCATTTATATAGACGGCTCCATTTACATTGATATATGAATAATTTTTCCACCCCGATTGTCTTAACCTTAGGAGATCTTGTAAATAACCACATGGCATTCGCTTTGTTTTGAGAATTTTATGTTTTCTCTTTCTGCAAAGATAATGGTGTTTTGGTGAGGACAGCATAAACATAAACAAATCCCAGGCTTAGGCTTTGTCTAGAAGAACTTGGGTCAATATTTTCTATAAGAATACACACGTTTTGGACAGATAGTATAATGTAAACAACCCCCGGAATTTATTTTCTCGCGCGCAAAAAAAAAAAAAAAAAAAAAAAAAAAACAGACAACGCATTAATCATGTCTTCTTAACGGGGTGAATTGAATTGAGCGGAGGACCTTGGTTTTAGTAAATTTTAATTTGTCTTGTTAATTCTGGGTTCGTTTTTTTCTTGGAATCGTTCATGAATTAATTTTATTGTTTTAAAACATAATTTTTAATCCGTGTCTTTATTTGATGTTTTTTCAGTCATTCAACCTATTCTCCAGAAATTTGAATAATTATTATCCACTTAGTAGTCCCGCCAAATCACCAGCCTGCAATTCCAGGCAATTAAGCGTTTAGACATGGTCAGTGCCATGTTACACCACACCCAAATGAGTCTACTAATAGTAAACAACGTTCCTGTTGTCTATCTCAAGGCCTAGCATCGTGATGTTGAAGAGAGAGAGAGAGAGAGAGAGAGAGAGAGAGAGAGAGAGAGAGAGAGTTATGATATCGATATTTATAGGTGTGTTAAGAATGGTCTTGAACAACAAATAAACATTTTCTATCAAGTATTCTAAGAAATAGGACTCATAATAAAGTTTTCCAAAAGAGAAACAATTGTGTGTAATCTGAACGAAAGCACTAATGTCCCCTAGCCTAAATCGATCGTAAGAAATTCAAGATTTGTAATTAACAAATACTTCAAATACCACGGTGTATCGATAATAATAATAATAATAATAATAATAATAATAATAAGTTTATTATAGGGGATAAGGAAACTGGACGTAAAATAGGCCGCGCTCGACGGAGTTTTCCCAACATCGCAACTTGATAAAAAGTCCAAAAATTAACCTAATAACTAGAGTCATCTTTTTACAAAGCCTCGCCAGATGTTGACTTTCAAACAGATGTCATATATGGCGTCCAACCCGTTCAAAAACGTCTAAATTATCACCTGTATTCAACCACTTTTTATGATCAACTTAGCTAGGATCATCCTTCTTCCAACCTTGTTGACTGTCGTTACAGCATCACAATCAAAGAACTGTACCAATAATAGAAACCACATCGTTTGAAGTTTTTTAACAGCAGAAACAGCTAAAATGGATAGCATATGTAATACAAAAAGAAAATAATGATGTAATCGAGATTTTGATGTTCCATAGTAATGAAAACAAAAGGTTAGTAAGGAAACCCCTATGAAAACCGGAATGAGCAAAATAACATTTACTTGACTTGAAAAATATACTTTTCTTGAAAAATTGTTTTAATAGAAAGATTTTATCAATTTTAACCGACAGCATCATTAGCTGCTCGGTCAATGACTGCCAAATGTTTCCTTATAAGGAAACGTCTGATAACACCATTCTCATTAGAGATGAGGAGAACAGATACTACATTTCCGATCGACGGCCAAGGAGTGAAAACAAATCAATGAATGTTGAATGCTTCCTTATAAGGAAATTATATCAGAGTCAGCAGCAGTCCGTTGCAGATTCGTGACTGGATTCTGCAGGTTTCATTCCATATGTGCTGCAGGGGAAGGTCATGAAATGAAGTGTGTGGGTCACTTCCGGGCAAATTGACGTCTACCTTACACAAATTCACGCCATCGTCACTTTCTTCTACTTTCCTCTCTAAACAACTCTTGTAAAGCTAAACGGCGATAGCGAATGCATGACGGGAGTAGGTTTTGATGAAACTAGAAACTTCCAGTCCAGAACCTGTACGTTGGTGGCAAATTTAGTCATCAACGCCATTATCATAAAACAAGAGATCAGCAAAGAGGGAAACTAAATTCTTGGATACGAGATAAAGCCGATGGTGATGATATACGAAATTATTTTTTTTTATCTTATCATTCTATCAGAATTCGATCCATATTTGATCGATATTTGATCTCAACGCATACGAAACTATCAAAAATCATATTTTAATCATTTTCGATTATAAAAATAAAGAAAAAAGAGAAATAAGCAAAATGACTCAGAGAGCGATGCTGTCAGGAGGTCTAACCTCCTCGTAGGGCCACGGTAGGTCGAAGACAAGGACCCAGACTAACCGCTACCAGCCCCAAAGACCCTGGGGCAAGAGGATGGAGATTTAAACAGATCCAAATGGTTGAACCAGCAGATGAAGAGGTTTTAGTGAAACTGGAAGCTTCTAGTCCTGAAGCTATACGTTGGCGACGAATTTACTCATCAACACCATCATCATTAAGGAAGCGACCAGCAAAGAGGAAATTAAATTCTTGGATACGAGATAAATTAATGTTAATTTCTTAAATTTATTAGTTTTAACGGGAGAATATTCAATATCTGTTTATATTTGTAAGATGTGGTATTGTAACTATTTACACTATTAGCATTGTTTCGACTGTTGTCCTCACATTCACGACATTTCGGTCGTTGTACGCTCCGGCCTTCTTCAGGATCTGTCTATATTTCTGAGATGAGGTATTGTAAGTATTTACACTGTTTACATTGGTCGGACTGTTGCCCTCATATTCGCGACATTTCGGCCGCTGTATTCCCCGGCTTTCTTCAGGATTTGTCTATTTTTCTGAGATGAGGTATTGTAACTATTTATATTGTTCGGACTGTTGTCCTAACATTCACGACGATTCGGTCATTGTACGCTCCGGTCTTCATCAGGATCTGTCTACATTTCTGAGATGAGGTATTGTAACTATTTACACTATTTACACTGTTCGTACTGTTGTCTTCATATTCACGACGTTTCGGCTGCTGTACACTCCGATCTTCTTCAGGTAATATACATGTCTCCAAGGACACATGTTCCTGTGGATAAAAACGTTGGTTTAAGTAATGCTGTGACTTGACCCAAAGAGTTGTGAGTTCAATACCACAGCAGAGGTGAACAAAAACCTGGAGAGTTGAGTGACAAAAGGAAAAATAACGTATACTGAAACTAGAACAATCTACTCCGGGTTCAATTCGAAATTCTAACGTATATCACCTGAAGAAGGCCTGAGCGTATAACGGTAGAAACGTCGTGGTAATAAAGATGAGTGCATCAGTCCGAAAATGTAAATAGTCTAAATAGTGGAATGCTTCTTGAAGTATTGCATGCGCAAAGGATTTGTGCATTCATTGCACCAAGGTGTCACCATTTTTCATCTCTATACTCTTCGAGAAGTCTGAATGCAGACATAGCATAGTTTTTGGTTGGTTCTTCAAGGTTGATTTTCAGGCAAATACTCCATGAAATTATATAACCTCATGAATCATAGTAAATCGTAAACTCGTACATTCTAGAGTTGCCAGTTAGTCATTTAGACTAGAATAGTGAATGAATGTTGTCCGATATCGTTGGGAGAAAAACGTTTAAATCCTCATCTGACCATACCCGCTGATTTCCAATGATACATCAGCTGATGATGATCGCCGTTTATGGGCTGAGTAAAGTAATATTCAGTGGTACCAACCTTGATTCCTGGGACGGCTTACAATAGTAGCGTGTGACCAACCTCGTTCCCAAGGCCCGATACGGTCCGAAACTCATCAGTAATACGAAGCATAAAGGGCCCCGAGAGTGAGGATGACATCTGACAGGGGACATTGCACTTGAAACACCGGACTGAAAAGGCGTTTTAAGAAAATAAACGGAGACGTAGAAAGTGTACACCGGTTAGTGTTTCTTTTCGGGGTTCAGTAATTCTGATGCTGGTCAATTAATATGAGAAGATAAACCTTAATATATTTTGTTGGATTTAAGATAAAAAGAGCTGATGCACTGTAACTTTCATTGATCTGTAGATAGATTCTTCTGCATCTATGTGTTTTGTCCCTTCATAACGTGGGCGATTATGTCTCTCCAAGGCATCCCTCAATAGTAGCTAATTTTTGTCCTTTTGCTATCTATGCTAATCTCTGTTCCGCCAAGAATTTTGCACCAGTTCATTAGGTAGATTATACTATGTTGTCATCTGTACGTCTTGCCTTGAAACTGTCCCGTGAGTGTCATATTTTCTAAGCCCTCTTTCTTCATTATGTGACCTAGAAATGTCAACTGTCTCTTTCTGATTCTAAGTGCCCTTTTTGCTTCTCAGTCTGTTTGCATCTATCTATCTATCTATCTATCTATCTATCTATCTATCTATCTATCTATCTATCTCAGTCTATTCGTATCTATCTATCTATCTATCTATCTATCTATCTATCTCAGCCTGTTAATATAGATACTTGATAGATAATTGATTATTTAATGGCGTGTGTATATCTAATTACACCATTGTAAGTATAAGACGATGTTCCAAATGCATTACATATATATCGTCTTAATCTATAACTAAGTTAACATCGTGAGAGCTAAGTTTATTCACTGACATTCTTAAGATATTTTAATAAGCACCAATTATTTCTCTTACAACTAACGACGCTTTTTATGCAAAAATGAGTTATCCCCCTTGATTTACAGTGTGTTTACCTAAATTGAAATTTAAAAAAAAATTATTTAAAATACTTTTTTTACCTTTTCGTCTTTCGAACATAAGACATCGATCGATATAAATTATAAGCAATTAATTTAAATATTATAGACAGCAATAATAAGATGAACAAGTCATAACACGCCATTTTAGGTCAACAGCACGAAAACGCGAATTTCATAACGCTTAACTGTCAGTGAGTATTTTGTACCTGAAGATTGCGTATAGGCATGAAACTACGAGTCGTGCTATCGACGTGGGATATTATGCTATTAACGAAATATATTTAATAGCTCTGTTATATAATATCGATCACTGAGAATATATATGTACTTTGCGTGTATATAATTATGTTTTTTATTATACCCATCTCCCCTCCCTCTCTCTCTCTCTCTATATATATATATATATATATATATATATATATATATATATATATATATATATATATATATATATATATGTATGTTGTAATGTAATTGTCATCTTTGATAATGGCTTATGTAAGCCGAAAGTTTAGATAGGATTAAAAATATGTATCAATATTGTGATTTTCTTTCTTCGTTTAATGATAATGTTATTAAGCTTATCAGACGTTATGAAAAGAATTTACATAAAATAAATAGACAAAACCTGTCTATATTATTTAATGAAACATGCATCAATGAAAAATGCTGCCTAAATACACACACACACACACACACACACATAATATATATATATATATATATATATATATATATATATATATATATATATATATATATGGGGAAGCAGTGGCACAAAGTGCACCAGATCTCTGTATTCGGCCCTTCAAAATATGTGGATGGTTCTGCACAAAACCTTGACCACTATAATCAAATCTCATGTTCTGGTGTCGGGCTGTCGGTTTCCTAGGAACACATCTGCTTGACCCTCATACGTCGAATTCGATGGGAGAGTCAAATATATATATATATATATATATATATATATATGCATGTATATGTAAATGTATGTATATATGTATACACGTAATAATACGTTAGTATATAATCCAAGTGAATCCTAATAATATAAAGTATTAAAGCTGATCCATGGTGTTGGTTTAGGCTAACGCATCCTCTTCCTCGTATAGCCAAACTGCAATTATAAACTATAAGTTTTAGAAAGTGGAAATTCTCCTCAAATATATTGAACATTTTCGAAATTCCCATATGTAATCCAGAATATATGAACTGTAAACAAAATGGCCGCAATAAATGGAAAGCGTTGGCGGTTGTTTAAACTGATAACAGGAGGAGATAACTCAAAGAGGGTGTAGAAGGATTTTGTAAACAAATGTTTTAATTATCTTCATAATGTTTTTGTCACCAGATTTTCATAATGGCCGAATATGCTGACAAACGGTCAAGATCCCAAACGTTTAGAGATTAAGGATACTCAATGAATCAATCACAGAAATATTTAAAAAAAATAAAAAATAAAAATATATCTAAATAAAGATAGGTACCATTGCAAATATAACACACACACACACACACACACACACACACACACACACACACACACACACACACACATATATATATATATATATATCATTGCAATTCAGTATATTCTCGTTTCGATCGAGCTCTCTGGAGAAAGGGTAATTTCAGAACAGTGACTGCTACTGCTATTAACACGCCGCTCTTCAATTAAGAATTGAGCTCTCTTGGCCATTGGCGTTTATACATATTTTCATATATAATATGTTAAAATTTCGTTTTCTCTTTCGTGCGCCGATAGCTTAGGGGTAAGATCTCTAACTGATGCCAAATTGGTCGAGTTTCGATCTTGGCTTGAAGCAATCGGACACCTTGTTACACTGATGAGGTTTGTATGTGAATGACTATATATATATATATATATATATATATATATATATGCTTTAAATCCGACATATTTATTTGTTAAACATTATTTTTAATGGATACTCATATTTGAGTAGATGCTCTGTTTTATTATTAAACAATATATTTATTTACATCTACCAGCCGGGATATTTGAGAAATTTTATTGTCTCAGACTCTGATATTCCATAGTTATATTTTATTACATTGGAGTCGTAATCACGATTCAATTCATCAGACCTAAAAGAAAACAGAAAATATATCTCCGGGTTTAAAAAAAATTAAAAACAAAATTTCAATTAAAAGTGTATGCGTGGGAGGAACAAAGGTGAGAGGGAAATGTAAGAAAGCTCTAGAGAGAAGAAGAAGAAGAAGAAGAAGAAGAAGAAGAAGAAGAAGAAGAAGAAGAAAGAAGACAAATATATAGATACGTTGGAAAACCAGGTTAGAAGAAGAAGAAGAAGAAGAAGAAGAAGAAGAAGAAGAAGAAGAAGAAGAAGAAGAAGAAATGTATGGATAGGTCGGAAAATAAAGGTTAGAAGAAGAAGAAGAAGAAGAAGAAGAAGAAGAAGAAGAAGAAGAAGAAGAAGACAAATATATAGATACGTTGGAAAACTCAGGTTTAGAAGAAGAAGAAGAAGAAGAAGAAGAAGAAGAAGAAGAAGAAGAAGAAGAAGAAGAAGAAGAATATATAGATACGTTGGAAAACTCAGGTTAGAAGAAGAAGAAGAAGAAGAAGAAGAAGAAGAAGAAGAAGAAGAAGAAGAAATAGCCTAAGGGTGTGGAATAAAATTTAAAAGAAAGAGGTTTTAAAGACAGAAGTTAAATAACGGTTTAGATGAGTGAGATACAGATAAATGTGTGTTATTATCAGTTGCATCAACCGTTTATTTAAATTCTCTCTTTAAAACTCATCTTTTAAATTATATTACTCGCCCTTACCTTAGGCTATTTGTTGTTGTTGTTGTTGTTCTTCTTCTTCTTCTTACGTTACACCTCTCACTAGAGCTTTCTTACATTCTCCTCTCACCCTTGTTTCTCACTCCCACACTTACACTTACACTGAAATTTTGTTTTTATTATTTTAAATCCGGAGATATATTTTTTGTTTTCTTTTTGAATTTGTAGGTCTGATGAATTGGATCGTGATTACGATTCCAATGTAATAAATTATGACCATGGAATATTAGTGTTTAAGCCTTTTATATCATATTCTTGCTCTGTCTTGTACATAGACCTCTACTTAGATTTTATCCTATTGGATATATATATATACATATATATCTCGCGACGGACGCTACTTGTAAAGAAACCTCTAAAAACAGTTATTTCTGAAGAAAGATCGAGGTCGATCTGAAATATCAAAACTACATATAAAAAATATAAATACTTTTATAAAAAACATTATTATTTTTTAATTTGCAACTTTTAGTTGTTTTTATATATATATATATATATATATATATATATATATATATATATATATATAGTTTTGAGTGTGCTATATTTAAGGGATAAAATGCTCAATATAATAGACAGAGAGTATGTAAATATAAATATAAAAAGTGAACATTGAAGTCAACACTCAGAGGCGACAGGCTATTTCATGGTAGACGAAATCTTCTAGCCTGATGATTGCTTCTCGCAATGAAACAGCCTGTCGCCCTGTGTTGACTTCAATGTTCATTTTTATATATATATATATATATATATATATATATATATATATATATTGACCACTAATATGATATATATATATATATATATATATATATATATATATATATATATATGCAGAGAGATAGATAGCTAGATAGATAGATATATAAGAGTACTTTTGCTTTTTTACAAACCTTTAGTTGAAAGTTTATTGTTTGTACACATCTAAAGGCTCATTTTGGCTCCACTATATTACTTAGATTATTTTTAAAAATTCTTTATAACCTGCATCTGTTTTATTGACCAATGGCTAGCTCAAGCGTAGGATGTGACTTTTTTTGTTGGTCTCGCTTAACTAAACAGAGACAGCTATTTAGAAAATAAATTAAATTGCACAAAACTTTTCACGGGATATGCTCTGTGCTTGTTAGAACGTTTTTTACATTCTATAGAAAGATCATGTAACAGAGTTACTTCGATTTCTTCTTGAGATCCTTTCTTTACCAGACCCAAAGCTCCAGCCGCAACAGTGTCAGATATTTTCTATTCCCATCTCTAGGTCTTTGTTAGATTTTCAAAGAGCTTCCCAGCGATGTTTCTTGTGATTTGGTACGCTCAAGTCAATCCGTGTGCAATGTTTTTCTTTACTGTTTTTGACAATAGTGTTTGGGAGATTTGCGTGTATTGTTCGAGCTGTGTTGATAGCAAAATATAATAACGACTATTAGCACACTGGTTATCTAAATAAATAACCGCAAATGAAGGTGTTAATTCGTGCCGAGGAGTGACTGGTTCTGTGTTATGAAGATGTGAACGATGCCTGACAGGTAGTTCCAGTTCATTATGTTGAAGCGACAAGCTACAATTGGGATAGAAAAAGTGTTAATTACCGTTATTATATTTTCTATTAACACAGATCGAACAATACACGCAAATCGCCCAGACATTAATCTCAAAAGCAGAAAAGAAAAGTTTGTACACTGATTAGTATAAGCATTGGTAGTACAAAAACAACTCTGCGAAGCTTTGTAATAAGACAAAAATAAGTAAATACAAAGACATGGAGATAGAAATAGCAAAAAAATATATCACTTAAAAACTAAAACTATCCCTGTTGTGGTTGGAGCTTTGGATCTGATGAAGAAAGGAACTCAAGAACAAATCAAAAACACCCCTGCTTCTCCCCACCCCCCACACAAGGTGTGTTTGAAGTAAGTTTCGACAGC